ATTATTATTTTCAAGTTAGTTTTTGGTTTCAGAATTCATCTGATCGCTTTAGTTTAGATATTTATTTGATGACTCTATTTTGGCTATTTTTATTATATAATGAGTATTTGTGATTTGTTGTCTAGTTTTAAGTTTTTAAACAATAACTTAATATTATTGTTATTTTTATTCTTTGAACTATTAGGCATTAGAATATTATTTTTATAACTCTATATTCTATCATACAGGTATAATGCATCACTACAGTTTTTTACTTTTTTCAAGAAAAATATATTCTTTCGTACGTTTCACGCACATGTTAGCATGTTTATTATATATATATACACTAGACGCGGAAGCCCGTGCTAAGCACGGGCCCAACGTGTTAAATGTTGATCGAGAATGAGATGTACATGCAGTAAACAATGGCATAAGGAAACGGGTATTGTTTAGGGTAGCAATTAAGCACTTTAAGAACAATAAGAAATCATGTTAGCAGCTTGATTGGAAAAAAGGAAAAAGAAATTCATGTTTGCATTATTAGTCTTACAAATGAAACGGCTCGAGAAAGAAAAAGAAAATCATCACTTTTTTAAAAGAAAAATATAAGACACACAGAGTGTTTCTCCGAAAATTGCATGTAACAATATTTATGATCCCTATTGATGTTTCAACTCACCACTTAACCACCAACTCCAAATGAGTTAGGACCTGTATCATGTCATAATTAAAGCAGGAAATTACTATGCATGTATAAAGAAAAAAAAATAAAAATACACCATGTGAAAGGGGATGTATGAAGCATCATAGAGGAAGAATATAGAGAAGTATGTAAGAAGCAACATAGTTAAATTACTTATCTGAATTATTCAATGGTAGAAAATTCATTCAACAACTTTTTTCAAACAACCACCTTTTTTCATTTACCATGTTAATTATACAAACCAGGTCCATGGAGTTAAAAGGTTATGAATAGAAAAACAAAAATACGACAGCATTTCCAATTTCGACCACCACCTGCCTATACATGGTTCAAAAAAGGTAGTAATACTATTAGTTACTTGAATTTTGCCTTTAATGAAAAAGCTTGTTCAGCCAAAACGATAGAGTTGTGGAGAATGAGAGGAGGCTTTGGAATGCATCTTTGATAGGCTTCCACCACTTGTTTAGGCTGATTTCAGTTCTCTGAGAGAAACACATGAAAAAATAGGGTGCTCTGCTGCTTGCAAATAATGGCAAGCTACACTGCCTCAAGAAATAGTGCTTCACTCTTGGAAAAAGAGAGACATACCTGGGAATTTTGAGAAATTAGGCAACATTTGTGGAACACATAAAAAAATGAAAATGACAGCAGCAAAGTTATAAGTTCTTCAGCAATGAACAAGTTCGTTTACTCTAAATTTTCTTAGCCCTTTCGCCTAACTGTGGATGGACTCCACCACATAGGAGGCAAATATAATATAGGAAAACATAAATGGAATTTGCTAAAAGCACCAAATTTTGATACTCCTCATGTATAAGACTGCTTAAATAA